GAGTCGGGCTTCGACAGGCCATAAAAGTAGAAATAATAACTCCCGGGGTCAGGGAACACAAGAAGAAGCAGGCAGACAAAAACCAGAACTGACTCCAAGGTTCAACCGCCCTCACCTACACGGAGTGACGGAAATTAATGAGGCCTTGAGTTAACGGCGTCAGCTGGACAGCAACAACAACGGCGAGCAGAGATAGGGTGGGGCAAAGACTGCGGGGCTATGGAATGCAACTTCGTGTCAGTAAAGCCCTGACAAACAAGTTAAGTTAAAGACATCACAATACATAATATCGTACATAACATCAATGTTAACGCTATTCACCGTAAACTATATTCCGCTTATATAACCATGCAGACACCAAGGAATACGAATTCCTAGGATCAAGAAACTTACCCCTTAACCTAAGATATCGGAAATAAATTAATAATAATAAGCATATGCATGAAAAGACAAAAGTAAAACTTATGAAAAGCCAGGATAACGGGATGAATCACCACCAGGTCGAATATAAATACATAATAAAAAAAAACGATGTTAAACCCAGGGTCGGAGAGAAAGGGAGATCCCGGCCGTCTTTATATCCCCGCAGCACGATGGGAAACGACAGACCTTAGGTTACATACAGAATCATAACTGTGAAATAGTAAGGGACAAATGTTAACTTAAAACTTTTTAACCATTTCTTTGTGCGCCGGGTCGGAGAGTGTTGCCCCTCCCTCCAGGTTGTGCAACACGAACAAAGACGCCTATGAGACGATTTGTAACGTCTGTGTTTTGGGTTCATGAAGAAGGCCAGACAAGAGATAATATTGCACCCAGACAGAGAGACGACTTCGAGGCAATTTGTAACATCTGATTGTTTGCTCGTGGGTTTATGGAGGGAGTGTGACAATGGAATATACCGTGGGTGATGCACACAAGGACATACGGACGTACGGACACACACATGGACACACCTGCCTACGGACAGATCCTGACACAGCAAAAATCGAAAGAAGCCCCGCCTTGTGGGCGGGATCCAGGGGGATTTTTCGGCATAAAGGAAAGGATCCTGAGCATTGGAAACTAGTGCGACCAGCGGGTCGACTCAGGAGCGAGCTCGACCGGGAGGGTCGGCTCAGGAGCGAGCTGCGACCAGCGGGTCGGCTCGACTCATCTTCAGCTCGTCTGGGACTCAGCCGAGTTCGATCGGCTTACCAAAGCCGGCTCTCGGGGCTCGACTCAAGCGGCTCCCCATCTCCTCTGCAGGCGGGCAAGACCCGCTTGACAGCTCAACTCGGCCTGCGTGGGTCAACCTCTGCCGAGTCGGAGGTCTCTGCTGCCGCCGGAGTGGTGAGGGTCGCGGTTTGGCGACGAGGCTCCGTGCACACCCTGGTCGACGACCCAACACTGCACGCTGCGAGCGAGTTGTGGGCGCCACCTACCGACCGGGTTCCGAACTGCGACAGCGTATCAACGGGCATCCGAACCAGTTCACCACGGTGACAGGGGAGCGACTGATACGTATGACGCGCACCGCCCCCTCACCACACGACCACCAGGCGTCTGTTTGACATAAAGAATCGACTCCGAACACTGACTATTCAAGACAACTCTTACCACTCAAACACACTCGAACCCATAAGCCATCCGTGGCTGGGAAGGCATCACAACGAGACCGAGTGATGGCCATCCGTCGTTTATAAGAGTATTCGTAATTTTTATCTTTAATATTTAGTGGGCTGTACTCTTAATCGCATAAATTCCCAACAGATCCATCAATACGAACTGATTCTTGGCACCTCCTTCCGCCGAGCCACGCTCACGTGGGGAGTGGTGGCCCACCGGATCCTTATCAGGTGATCTGGTCCCCAATTAGTAAACTTGGTATAAGATAACGATCTTCGGAAAAGGAGCACCGTCGCAGGCCCTTACTCCGAGCCGTTCTGTTGTCAGATAACCTGCCGATGTATCTGTTGAGATTGGTGCCTTTAAGAATAATAACTGTTTTTGATTGTGTTTTTTTTTATCGCCGTATAATCTTTCAAGTATCTTTCAGTCATAATCGCCGCACGTACTCGCATCCTCTACAGAATATTCAACTGTCCCGTGACCCAAGGTGCTAACAACGTGATAAGGGTTGCGTATGATCAATAAGGAGTGCGGTACTGCGTGAACAATATTGAGTATAATCATTCATTAACGTTAAGGTTTTCTTAGCATAGTATTTGCATATTTTAACGACTCTCTCTCTCACTAACAACCATCGCGTTATGCGGGATCCATGTGCCGTTGTCAAAGTGAAATCAGACAATCGTTGATGATACTGTATTGATGCCGTGTTGACGTTCCGGGATTGAGGGTTCGCATACTATATCATAGTTAAGGTTGAATTAGTAATAAATTGATCAATACAGAAGTGGTTGTGTGATTCTTTCCTGAAATCTATGCATAAGATCTGCTTCTGCGTTGAGATCTGAACTTGGTGACCTTAATAAACACACTAATACATACTCAGTAAATGTTAAAGCGATAACGGGGTGAACCGGGGACCTAAAATATAACCACGAATACACACTCTGGGAATGTTAAAGCGAGAATGAGACGAACCTAGACAACGATGCCGAGTTAATCTAAGTTAATCTTGCATACTTACACCACACCTGCATAACTGCATACGATTAATTGCCTTATTCCGATCGATAACCCACCCTCGTCACCGAGGCGGGGTCTGGTTATCATAACGACTTGCATTATCATAATTACACCCACTCGCATAATTAATACGATTACCTCTCGAATTGGCATAATTAAAATGTGCATAATTACATAAATTAACATATTTCCGGATAATTACACATTTGGCCAAATTTCATTTAATTATTATTATTTTCACTGAATATTCATAACCCACATATACAACAGTGTGATGTAACTTTCCTCCAACCACAGACACATACCTGCATCTGTTTGTGGCCCGCTGTTGCAGCGGAACTTGTGACAGTTGCTGTGGTGTTCTCTTGTGCTGTGCTCTCATTACTTGTAGTCGTTTCCGGTCCAGTCGTTACCATGTTGTCAGCCGATGAGTCATCTTCCGCCCCCGCTCTCGCAGACTCTAGGGGTATTCTCGTATGTTGACTTTCTGTAGCTAAAGCGGGTGTTTCCATCATACTGCGAAGCATGGGAAACTACAGAAATGGGAAGCTAACCCATGACTGTCCTAGTGGGGTCTATTCCCTCCTGTCAGCCGTCTCTCCGTGCCGCCACAAGGACTTTCCCCTGTTGCCAGCTGATCTTTCTCAGCAGTCACTGGACAAGTCCAGATATTCAGATTCCAAGAACACAGGATGAGATGTTACTATCCTTTGTGCAAGCACTTCCAAGAGTTCATGAACAGTGAGCCTGGTGAAATTTGGGGAGCGCATCGTCAGTAGTGAACCACATCAACTCCATTCACCCAGCCATTAAATTCACCATGGAGGTGGAAAAGGATGGCAAGTTACCATTCTTAGATGTGTTAATCGAAAACAGACCAGATGGCTCAAATGGGACACTGTCTACAGGAAAGCCACCCATACAGATGCCTACCTAAAACCTGACTCCCACCATCCATCCCAGAAGAATTCCCTTATCAAAACTCTACACCATAGAGCTCATTGTATTTCCGACCATCACCACCTAGCCAGTGAACTGGAGCACGTACACCAAGCCCTCACGATGAATGGTTATTCGGACTACACAATCCGTAAAGCCATCACCCCAACCGTTGGGAAAGAACCATCTGAGGACCCAATCAAAACCATCACCTTGCCATACATAGCAGGGGTTACCAGAAAGATTTCCAAAATCATGAGCAAACACAAGATCTAGGTTCGATTCAACTTGGTACATAACATTTGTGATCTGATCCCATCTGTGAAGGATGTGATCCCTGACATGCAATACCCCGGTGTCTACAAACTAAGCTGTGCCTGCAGCAGTAGTTACAGTGGGGAAACTAAGCGACATGTCTTGGACCATGTTCGTGAACATAAGGCAGATCTGAAACACGGGAGGATCAATACCTCAGCCGTGGCTGATCATTGTTTTAACGCTGTGGGCACACACGAAATATATTTTTCCAAGACGAAGGTACTCTGCAAACCCACTGGCTATCAACAAAGATTAGTTCATGAAGCCATCCAGATATATAGACACAATTTCCACCGAGAAGATAAGTACAAACTGAGCAATCATTGGAAGGACGTTATAAACCAGTTGAAGTCATAACTGGCTGTGATGTTTCCATCCTACCTGCCGATGTTAGCAGTTATTTCCGACTGAGTTACATACACGCTAAATGTCTCACTAGCACAGCCACCGTTGTGGTGGTTCGCTTACATTGACATGCTAATCTCTCACAATACAATGGCCACCTCCACAGCTGCGTCGTTGTGGAGGTATATCAGCTCTCCGATCTTACATTTACATGCAAATTCCATCTCTAGCCCCACCCACTTACCCTTGGGCTAAACCCATCTCAAACCTATATAACATCGTGCTACAGCAGCTCTCCCACTATATTTTTTCACCTGATGACGATTGCTTGTGTTGCGATCGAAACGTCGTGATATTTGTATTATTTTTCTATCTACGTGGCTTTCCGAAAGACCCAAATAATATGAATTCCTGCAGTCACGTAAGCTTTAAGTCAAGAATGTTTAATCTTGCAAATAATACTAACCTGGTCTCTTGAATTCTCACCTGGTTACACTAAATAACTTTATAATTGAAGGGACGTTAGCAGGACAGACCATGGTATATATTATCGTATAATAGATACAATAACCTGCAACATTTCCAGTTCTCATGCTGGCATTTCACAAAATCCATCTTAGACGCATTGTGCGAAAATGCTAATAGCTTTTTTCTAGTTGCTTCGTTTAGTGCGATTCTATACCACAAAATATACACCATTGCTAAAATGCATGACATTACTGTCATCCCTCATAAAAAAAAGAGGAATAACATAAATGCAGTGAAAATTTTGCACCAGCTGACAGCGTTTAATACAATATGGGTTAAGTTAAATCAGTTAACCTGAAACAACAGTCTTGTATGTACTCATGAGGTACAAGGAGGTGTAATATATTATGTTTTAGTTTATGCAGTTAAAACAAGAATACAACCAGTTATACTGGACGGAATATTCATTCCAATGCTATGAACCATAACTCAAGCTTTACCCGAAGCTGCCAGGTCCTTTTACAATTGCGTTAATGTAATTTTAATATAACTGCAACCATACTAAATGTAAATAAATTAAGGCATGTTACATGCGTGTAAAAATGGACGAGTTCAGGAATAATACAAATTCCAACATTGTCTAAAGAACATTCCAACATTGTTTAAATAAATGTTTAAAGTTTTATTCTGACTTCCTTGATTTTGTCCTGCGGATGCGTGACGTCGTTTCAAGTGAAAATTTGTAATTCATCACTAAAATTGAACTTGTTCAACCTACCAGTAGAATGAAACAAATAATTGGCACATTAAACACTTGTACACGAGACATGATCATGTAATTCGCTATGTTGGATGGCATAGGGTCTTATATTGCCTTACCCAAAAATACACTATTGAAGCATTACTGATTAAATCAGATGTTTTAATGTACAATGCATGAGAATTACAGAGTGGTATTTACATGCCACACGGCCGTGCATGGGGGGGCTATACCAATTGTTCACGTCTCGTCATGTGACTGCAGGTAGATGGGCTTGGCCTGTTTGCGGAGACGTTCCTGAGTCTTCAGTTGCCGCCCCTGCTTTCCAGCAAGTCCCATGGGAGGGAGGTTCATCTGCAAGTTCGCCAGCATGGAAAGCCATGAGTAAATTAAAGTGCATGTATAGAGAAAAAGGCAAAGTAATTTCCTGTACAAATGAACATTGAGGTGGTACTAACATGTTAGCAGCCCTGAGCCAGTGGTGGAAATTACGGTACTCATTCCTAATGGCAGAAGCAGGTCTTTCCATAAAACAACTGCTGTTTACTTTCCCAAAGAGTGGTAGCCATCTTATCGAACCCAGACAAATGATGGACTGAGTCAACCCCCCAAATAGGATTTTAACTCGCAACCTTTTGATTCCGAGCTGCTCACTCTACTGCTGATTCACAAAGCTGGATTGGTACACCCAGGTAGGAATGAAGGAAGACGGGAGACTGGGTACAATTAACACCTAAAAGTATGAGCTTTGTAGAGATTCAGCATAGACAGCGGTGCAGTTATATTTGTAGGAAAAAAAGTAACTAAGTTAATTGCCTACATTACAAAATACTATCAGGTGTTACTTTCCATAATATCATCATCAGTTATGATAAATCTGCTGCTAGATTAAGGCCTACCCAAGCAATCTCATTATTCTATTCTATAGACTACATCTTTTTATCCTATTATTGTATGTACATACACAATTTATTAGGAACAGCATAAAAACATTACAGATTAACCAACCATGCAAACAAGCAGGGTTTATTAAAGTAGTTGCTGCCATTGACCATACAAATGAGTCAAGTTATGACATAAGCGTTGGTTAATACTCGTCTGCAAACGTATTCTAACAGAGTTAACACAGAAATAATGAAGTTAGATAGGTCTCAAAATAAATTACGAGTAATGCATTACTGCAATGAGCATATCATTACAGCCGAGCTTTATGTTGACATGCTCTTGAAAACCGGTCATACAAAGTGTAAACATAAGACATCGACATCTAAATAACAAAGTAACTTACAGGTCTTGGGTAAGGTATCTTGTAATGAAGTGCTGTTGGGAGACAACAGAAGTTAACACTTCCTGCTGTCATATACAAACATGATCACATCATGAGCATTAACAACCAAGTGAAACAACCTCATTTGCGTTTCTCAAACTGAAGATAACTAGAGTATTACAAAACATTAAAGATAATTTTCAAATCTTTGTTTGGCTTTTGCAAATATTTTCTGTACTGCTTACCGAGTTCTATTCTTGTTTTGCATTCTTCAATGCAGAACTTGATTTTCTCTGGCTCCACCAGCTGTTGAAAACGAAACAACACCCTGTAATATAAACTGTGCCCTTTATATTGGTCGCGAAAGCCGACGTGTTAAAGCGCCCTCTCTGTGGAAAACAGCCGCTGGGAGGCAATGAAAAGTTGAGCAGTCCGAGGGAAGAAGCAGAAAGTGTCCGCTGCAGTATCGTATGAGTGGTTGTTGTGACCTGCAGTGTGGTGGTTGAACACACTGCAGATCAGACGAAACGGCCAGTCTGGTAGGCCAGACTCGGGTCCTCAAGACGGGAGTAGTAGCCAACGAGTGAAGTTCACGGAGGGAGTAGTAACGATAGACGAGCAGTGATGAGCAGGCAACTGTCCGCAGGTGAGCGGACGCGATATCGAGTATCGGGCGCGAACCGGGTCAATGCTGGATCGTCAATCAAAACGAGGGATTAATGTTCAACTCGTCGATGCAGTGGCGCACACATTCGCGTAGGCAGTGCGCGAACCCACGTCCTTGTTCTTGCGGAAGAGCGCCCGCGCCTCGGCGCGGATGTACTCGGCCTCGGCGAGCGCTGCCGAGGGCTCAGCGGCGCCTGGCGATCGCCAGCCCCGCGCCAGGCGGAACACGCGGCGGTAAAGGCCCAGCACCTCGACGCGTGACACGCTCATGCCGGGACGAGGAAGTGCCACTGCCACCGACTCAGATTGCAGACCTAACTCGTGCCGAGCTGATAGCCCCGAGCCCCAAACTCACTCCAACCTCAAACTCCAGTCATTCAAAATCCGTGACGTCGAATGAGACATCCTAAGCAAGTTACCCCATCCCCAGACGCTTGTATCCTGGACCTCAACTTCACTCCCCACACGGGCACCGCTGCCTCGCACCGTGATCGCTGCACCTGCTCAAGTCAACTCGCGGCTTCGTGCCTCGTGCCTATGGGTCAGCGGACGCTCCCCTCCGCCAGCCAGACCCCTTGCGGCCTAGGTAGCCTCGCAGAGTTAGCGCACCTCTTTCCCGGAGAGGAAACTAGGCCAGGTGGGACGGGGGAGCGTGGCGATCTGAACGCGACCAAAAAATATCGACGTATAAATGGTGCTGAGACGAAATGGTGCAACGTGTAGCTACAATAAGACGAGCGTGTTAATTAGTCCTAATCGGCTTACATATCAATTAAGCCGCGTTTACACACAAATCTGTCTGCACGCACACAGGATGCTGAAGTCGTGGGGTCGTGACCTCTGACTGCGATAATTCTCAAATAGATTTGCCGCTCTCGATCCACGCATCACATCGCAAGTTATAAGAGCATCGATTCTCTGGGCATAAACATTTCGATTCATTCAAACCGTATGGGATCGATGCATGTTGAATGATGGGCGAATCGATTCTGGTTACAGAAACTGACAGCTGCCGCCCAGTGGAGATCCGAGGACCTCTCGTGATGTCAGCCAGAGACGTCTCCAACTCCATGGTGCTCATCTTCACTTTGCAGCCCTGAGCCAAGAGCCCGAAATGCGACATCCCTGTGGCGGATGCACAAGGAAGCCTTATTCCAACAGTGGCTTGGCAAAGGGATGTATATTTGAGTGAAGCTAGAAGTCACGGACAAATAAATAAACAAATATAGGTAGACTTGACTGGTGTATACAGTATATACTGTGTGTAAAACCTTGCATAGGACAACCGTTGTCGACCTCCCCACGAAGTGGTACTAATTTTATACACCCCGAAAGGGTGATGAGCTGAGTCGAGATGATGCGAAAAGCAAAGCGTAGAAACACATTTGAAAAAGGAATTTACTTTGTAAAATCCATACAATATAAATGCAGTCCCGTTTTTAAAATGGCTAAACTTGTCAGCTAACAATGCTTACAAAGATATGCACTCTACAATGTAAATTGCTTAATGTACAATACATACACGTTAAAGATATCAGCATCATTCTTGTCGCTTAAAGTCTTTCAACAATTGTGTTAAATGTTAAAATAACGTGCTACTCGACAGAGAAAGCTATAATACAATTTGCTAAGTAATTATACTTAGCATAAATAAATAAGTTTCAAAAGCGTTATTTTAATTTTTTTACAGACAATTAAAAAGTGTATACACACCTGTACCCTCTTTTTAATGTGATCTGTGCAAATAATATTGCAGCAGACATGAACATCGCCGTCATCTGGAGTGTTATGGACGGCATTGGCCAGCAGGGGTCGTAATAATAAAGATAACACTGTGTAACAAAAACAATTTTGTTCCTGGGTAGTGTTATTTCCTAATTGCCTTTGCCTCAAAATTACAGAAAATGGGTATTATTCCCCACAAACTTTCGTGACCAGGACAGTGATATTTTAAAATGTACCTATTTTAAATGAGAAAACGTGTGCATTTGTGTCATTCCTTCACATAAAATCGTGTTACATAGTATATAATTTGAAGTTCTAACGTGCCGCACAGTATGTACTCACTCTCAGAGAACAACAGACCCACAGAGGCGCGAGGAGCCACAGAGAGCCGGCACCACCAATATTTCCCCGAGCTTTGTGGCCCTGTTCAGGTGTTTTTAGCCAATCAATGAGTGTTTACATCTGTGGAATATAACCGCAGCACCCGGAGAAAACGTACGCGTGCAAGGGGGCAAGACTCTATCCCATACAGACGGAATAGGTGGGGTCCACATTTTTCAGTCCTGCCTTCTGGCAAGTCAGGGTTATGGGTTTTCGACACCCACGGAAAGGGAGTTTTACAACCTTCGTGTAATCCACCAACCCTCACTGCCTCCACAATGCTGGATTACAGTTGACCACTTCCTGACTACATGTACTTAGCGCGAAACGTTTTGGTTATTCCAGCTGCAGTTATATGATAAGAGTTTGTAATGTTATGCTGGCTTCAAATATAACTTACTAAATTGTTCGCAAAAAAATAATACAGTACAAAAAAAACATCTTGACTTAAAGATTTCGTTACTGCACGAAATCATATTCTTTGGGTCTTTCGGTAAAGTCACGTAGATATAACAATAAAATAATAAAAATGAAAATAAAGTGAATAAAAGAAGAAAATGATCACGACGTTTCGATCGCAACACAAGCAATCGGCATCAGGTGATCGTCATCAGATTGCAATCGTCATCAGGTGATCGTCATCAGATTGCAATCGTCATCAGGTGATCGTCATCAGGTGATGACGATTGCTTGTGTTGCGATCAAAACGTCGTGATAATTTTATTATTTTTATTCACTTTATTTTCACTTTATTTAATTTGTATTCTAGATTTGACTGCAAGGATTCATACTCTTAGGTTTTTTCGGTAAAGTCACGTGGGTAAATTTTTTTGAATTAATAAAAGTAAAATAAAACAAATAAAAAAATTCACGACGTTTCGGAAGCAACACAAGCCTCCGTCTTCAGGTGGAACCGTCACAGCCACGACAGCTGTATCAAGTAAATGAGAGATCACAAGAAAAACTACCCCGTATATATAATGGTTGAGGGGGGAAGGGCCAGGAACGGCACACTTTTTTATTAATATGCTAAGGTGAGGCTTAAGACCAAGAGTAGACTGCATAACAAAGGACTGAGCCTTTGTTATGGAGAGGGGCGGTTTGTAACTAACACATGGCAAACATGACAAAAGTGTGAAAAAAGAAAAGCAAGTAAAAAACTAAAACTGGTGAAACAACAAACTGGCTGTCTATCAATGACCTGTAATAGTTGTCTGTGACGGTTCCACCTGAAGACGGAGGCTTGTGTTGCTTCCGAAACGTCGTGAATTTTTTAATTTGTTTTACTTTACTTTTATTAATTTCAAATGTTTTACCTACGTGACTTTACCGAAAAAACCTAAGAGTATTAATTTGTATTATTTTATTGTTCTATCTACATGACTTTACCGAAAGACCCAAATAATAAAAATAAAAACATGTTGCCCTTTTCAATACATGTTGTTAGTAATAGTGATAAATAGGTGACAATTGACCTTGATGCAACATTATTTCTGCACGTGTCTATGGTAACTATAAGCTTGTGTCATTTTAACACACGTAACCCGCGCTCTGCACGAGGGATGCGTTCTGAGCAAAAGTCCGTGCAGAGCAATGCAGTGCAGTGGACCCAGTTTTACAGAGTAGTGGACAAGGTGTTATGTTCCAGACTCCTCCAAGATTCCACGTTCTCACTTGTAACTCACTAATGCACATACAACATTCAAACAAGGAATGAAATACTGTATAATTATGCAACGTAAAATAACATGAATCTATACATGAGTTGTGTATTCACCAATACAGGTAGCTATATAACAGGGGTACAATGCCACGTGCTCCCGTACTCAACAATGGACTGCGGAGAGCTGCTTCATTTCTTCCATTATCTCGAAAGCGTTTCGGCTAATCTTTTGTTGCATTGATCTCTCCTCACTTAAATATGGTCAAAAAGCCCAAAAAGTATACCAGTAACGAGAGCAGACTGCACTACAAATCTTGTTCAGGCATAATTTTTCATGAACTGAAACTTTTCCAGATAAAGGAGGGAGAAGTGAGGCAGTCCTCCATGGTCCATCGTTAGGTGCGGGAACGTGTGGCGTTGTTTTTTCCGAACTCAACGGCTCCCTGTGCACAGCCAAATCAGTACACAGCTGCTCAGAATCCACGTGGAGAGGAGTGTGAATTGCGTGCAGAGTGTGGGACTAGCACGGTGTGCGAACCCCGCTCCTCAACCCATGTGGATGCAGACCGCACCGCGTGCTTTGCGAATTTTTGGTCGTAAAAAAAACGAGTATTTGAGAATACGTGCCGAAAGAACCCGTGCAGAGCAAGGCTAATGTGTATTTCATGTTAAAAGTGTCCTAAAAATTGACGATAAGAAAAATATGAAATTGATCTAAGATTATTTAAGGTTAATTAACTCGATGGCACAATGGGAAATGGGAAATCCCATTACGTATGGTGTAGCTTCAGTTTCAGAGGTCGGCTTGACACAGACTTGGTTCCATGTGTGACCATCCCTTTTTCCTAAAAGCAAAATCACAAGCACGTGTAGAAACCAGTTACGCATCGCAAAACTCAACACATAGTAAGAGCAGCAGCAGGAATGTGTTATATTTGTGATTCTCGCTTCTTAATGCATGCTGCATTGTATTTACCGCTGTCCGTAATCCCTTTGCTTGCTGCACTTCTTTATCTGTTTTCAGAATGACCATTCTTTGCCCCGGTGAGAGCACAAAGAAAATGTTGTGAATCTCATCCAAAGCTCCTTGAATCTAAAACAAAACATATAATGTACATAAAGTGACGCCATATTTACTCAGATTAGCAACTTAAATTAAATATCCTTACAAAACTGTTCTTGTTTTACACCTGTATTGTTAGCAGATGTTTTTACTGACATTGAGTGTGCTTTGTATTCGTGATAGAAGAATGTTATACTATTTACTGTGCACCGTCAGTATGCAACAGTCCTACCCCAGCACCTCCGATTGGCACGGCTGGCTATGTACGGTGCGAAAGAAGTTTAACATAGTAAATACAACCACCAACCAGCACGCAAAGTGTATAATGCCACATTGTAAATGACAGCATCACTTGGAATATTCAAAATATGACATGTGTATAATATCTATTGAGAACACTATGTACTCGGATATGCAATATAAAAATGTTCAATATTGCTTTGCTGTATTAACTACAGGATACCATTCTCTGAAGTGTAAATGGAAACATGTAACATGTTGGTCCCTGTTCTAACAATTCAAATCCCTTTGCTACTTGCTGCCTATCGAAACGACGATGGCTGTCCTTTATATTTTATGAATATTCCCTACCGGGGTTAAGTAAAGGTGCAGTCTTGCAATTATTTGCTCAGCACCACTGGCAGTAGGATGTTCACTCATGGGAGCTCTGGAGACCCCTTTCAGAGGATATACATCTGTAACTTGGCCTAATCTTCTATGCTGGGTGAATTTATTTGCATTTAAAATACTCAACATAAAGGTTGCTGACAAACAATGTTACATCAAAATGGTAGAGGACATTGATCAACATTCTGTTTATCTGCGCACAATTAACAGCTGCACTAACTAGGTTGAAAATCTTGATTTTGTCTGTGGAAAAGGTGGCGACCCTTAATGATGAACACGTGAGACTCACGCGTACCCAGAGCAGTACAAGTGTAGTGGTGGCCTTTACCTGTTTTAAGAGTCTCGTGCGGAATGCCGAGTCACTCGGTCCCAGACACTTTGTACTCGAGTCTCCCTGAATAGACAGTGCCAGCTGTCTGGTGTCCTGTGTGCAAAAGAATAAGATATAACAATGACAACCACACGTTCCTGTGTTTCATTATCAGAAACAGTATGAAATGGAATGCAATAAAAAACAATATAAAAAGATAATGTGGTTTTACATTTCATGTTGCCTTACTACAGCTGTAATTTGTGTTTGTATTAGCTTTATTGATATGCAACAATCACTATTTGCAGGGAATATACACAGTGCCCCTAGCGTGGCCAGGTGGCTCAGCGGTGGAGGGAGTGGCTCCCTATCGCAAGGTTGCAAGTTCAATCCCCATCATCCCTCCCTACCGGGTCAGTAAAATAAGTTCCATTTTGTGGGGCAAGTCAACAGTGGTTGTACCAAGCACAGACTGACCCCCCCCCCCCCCCCCCCCCCCACCGTAGGTAAAAGTGCCGCCCTGCAACAGCTCACTTACACCACTGCTAGCGGAAGGGCCTCCACTCGAGTGAACCCTACAGGATATTTTGGTCTACTCCTCCATGGTCATCAGATGTGTTGAAAAGGGCGGGAATACCCACACTTTACCCCACCTCATGCGACCTGCCGATTGGCTAACTGTGGTGAACCCATCGATACTGCTGGGTAGACAGAGGCGGCAGGGGAAAATTAAGAAACTCGCACCATTGTTGGAACTGCCTTGCTGGCCTGTGAATATGGAATGTGATTTCATGACTGATTCATTCTGATAATTAATATTTAGCATCATTCACGCAAAATGCATCTCAAAGCGGGAAACCACATACAAGCGGGAAGCCAGCTAGAACCTGCAATTACCCAAGCTCAATGCTCCTACATTGTGACGTTTGATAATGTTTATACCATGTGGGAGGAAACCGTATAGATGCAAATTGACACACTTGCGGCGCTGTGCTGCCATACCATGGCCAGACGGGAGATGGCGACGAATTCGTGTGATTCACGAACCCGTCGAGTGAGAGACTGAGAGCAGCGAGGAGTCACCTTGATTATGCGCACAAGGCGCTGCACCTTCTCCGTGCGCAGGAGCCTGCGCGTCAGGAACCCCTTGACGACAGCGGAGACTCTGTTTGATCTCTTCTGCACGTCGAGCAGGTTGGCCTGGAACACATCCACACGCAGCATTTCTTGGAGCAAAATAAATACGCAGACAAGACGCCTCCTTTACATATGTCACTCCACACTTTTTCAAAAGTGTTTTTATCCATCAGCCACACAGCCATCTCGGAGTGCTTAATTCAAGCGGCATTTGTTTAATTCAAACAAACTGTAAACTGGTTTGGACATTCAGTACCAGGATCAGGCTTGCTTAAACCAATGCTGGTGAACTGCCACGTGTTTATTTGGTACAATATATAAGGGTTACTCTTTGGTTCTTTCGGTAAAGTCACGTAGATAGAAAAATAATAGATCACGACGTTTCGATCGCAACACAAGCAATCGTCATCATCAGGTGGGAAAACCACTGCAAGGAAAAACTGCTGACCGCGTTCGCGAACACAAGGCAGATCTGAAACACGGTAGGACCAATACCTCTGCCGTTACTGATCATTGTTTTAACGCTGTGGGCTCACACGAAATTGACTTTTCCAAGACGAAGGTACTCTGCAAACCCACCGGCTATGATCAGAGATTTGTTCATGAAGCCATCCAGATATATAAACACAGACACAACTTCAACCGAAAGGATGGGTACAAACTGAGCAATCATTGGAAGGACGTTATTAACCAGGTAAAGTCTTAACTGACTGTTGTGTTTCCATCCGACCTGCCTATGTCAGCTGTTATTTCCGACTCTCTGTGTGTCTTTCTCTCTCTCTCTCTCTGTGTGCATCTCTCTCCGATCTCTACTCCAGTGACCCGGGGCTGCTGTGGAGTCCACTTTCTGCCCCGCTTCCTCCCCCACCTTCTCTCTCCCCCCTACTGCCGAGGCCTATATAACCTCGTGCCACGGCAGATCTCTCGCCTACTTCAGCAGTTTTTTATTACTCTTTGGTTCTTTCGGTAAAGTCACGTAGGTGAAATATATATATAAGAATAAAAAAAAATAGAAATAACTAAATTAAATCACGACGTTTCGGAAACAACACAAGCTTCCGTCATCAGGTGGGACAACCACAGCAAGAAACTAAAATTACTGTAGTGGGCAAAGAGAGCTGTTTGTGCCAAGCAATTATATAAGGTAAGAGGGGGGGAGGAGCCAGGGAGGAGAGATGCAGGGGGCGGGGGGGTGGAGTAGGGGGGGTGTGGAGTAGGGGGGGTGTGGAGTAGGGGGGGGTGTGGAGTAGGGGGGGGGAGGCTCCTGTTGAGACACGGCTGGTGAGACACAATGTCGGAGCTGGGCAATGAGCGGGCCTGGGGGGGGGGGGGGGTAACGTGCTGCAGAAACTGGGAATACGGGAATGGAAGCAAGCTATAAAAAAACAATTAAGATTTTACCTGGTTAATAACATCCTTCCAATGATTACTCAATTTGAATCCATCTTCTCAGTTGAAATTACGTCTGTGTTTGTATATATATTTTTTCTTGCTGTGGTTGTCCCACCTGATGACGATTGCTTGTGTTGCGATCGAAACGTCGTGATCTATTATTTTTCTACCTACGTGACTTTACCGAAAGAACCAAAGAGTATGGATTCCTGCAGTCACGAAAGATGAAAATAGATGTGTGCTGTGAATGTGAGACTGTGAATTCTGAAAGATTCTGCCAAATCCATTTGGTTATTTTACTCTGAATTGATTAACTCTGGTTCCTTGTGTTTATGTGATTTATTTTGTAATTTTGGGGACCCGGGTCACTCTTGCATATGAGACTCTCTTGGTCATTTTAGTTCTTACCTGGTTAAACAAATATAACTTAAATTTTATTCCAAACTTAAAGTGTGGATGAAACTGGAGTGCTCAACATGGGTGGAGGAATCAACAATTACATTAACCAAAACAATTACCATGGTAGTAGCGACAGAAGGGTGATAAGGAGGTGACTGACCACCGATGAGGAGGGGACTTGAGTGCATATCAGTGAGCCCTGGATCATCAATCAACCCGACTGCTTTGCGTTTAATTCTGCCAAGTGCAGTAAGGTAGGAACTGGGTGCTCCACCCCAGATATGACAGCAGCGTTCCCACTGCGGTGAAATTACTTTGGAGAGCTGTAATTGATCTGAGTTAAAAAAAGGCTTCATGCTAACCCAGACTCACCGCCGCTGTCGCCCTCGGTCTTCTGCAGTGGCTGCGCATCAAGAGGCCCAACACTGAACTGCTCCTTGTGAGGAGGACACCCGTGGTCTGGGAAGCAGCCGAACACGACCGGACAGCCCCGTCACCTGTTAAAAACGCGGACATACACCTCTGCTAAATCTCACAGGTTTCCTTCTGTAGATGAGCAATGTGTAATCAGCTGCAACGATGTGGCATATGCAGAGCCCTTTAGCAATCCACTGATGAATTAAGGCCTCCCCATGCCGGTCACTGCAACATTGCGTATTACAATTCATGGTGTAGTAGCAATGTTAGTGATGTAACTGGCCGGGTGGCTCAGCGGTCGAGTGAGCGGCTCACAATCGGAAGGTTGTAAGTTTCAATGCTAGTTAGGGGTTCACTCAGCCCATTATCATCCCTATGCTGTCGATAACATGAATATCACTTTGTGGAGATGTCAACGGTGGTCGTTCTGTGGGTAAAATCGCCCCTGCCACAGGAATTAGGAATTGCCACCGCTGACTTAGGGCAGTGAACATGAGATGAGCACCACCTCGCTGCTCATTTGAGCAGGAAATCACCTTTGACTTTTAATGGAAATAAATTTGTTAGCCAAACAGTGCTTCTGAAAAAGTCCCTCGTACTCAAGTACTTACATGGGCATTTAAAGAGTGTAATTAGATTCTAGTTTACTAGAAATATAACATTAGAAGAGAGTAGCAACTTTGGCTTCATGATACTGAACAAAGCAGTGAAAACACGATGAGTAACTTCATCTCAAATTCAGCTTACTTAGTTAATTGAAACCATTTGACCTCAGGGCCATTGTCTTTGTGGTCCAAATAAATAATTTACTCCATTATATAATTTTAAAAACGTAGACTGAACTATGTTCCAATGCTTTTCAGCTCTTGTGCAGAATCATAAGAAGACTCATCAGTCACTGGGTCATGACAGCTGCGTACAATGATAACTGCATTTTTTATGCCATACAATTTGTGTTGCTCGCAGAAAGGACGAGATTGTGAGGTGTGGTGGCCATTATGAACTCCTATCTCAAAACATTTACTGTATATTATTGCAATTTATTTTGCAATATTCAGACCCAAATATAGAAATATAAAGAGTTTGTCTTACCACACACGCCATACTCTCTCCTGACTATTAAGTAATATTTCACGCATTCATTCAATCCAAAAGAGCTTGCATGAAGTGAGTGGTTCCAGAGCACTGCTCTCCAAATTACATTGCAATTTTAACAGCATTGTCAATGGTCCATGTTCATTCGTTCCAAACAGGCGCTGTAAAGCAGAGCTGTGTTAACGATGAGAGTGATGTGAGAGTGATGTGAGAGTGATGTGAGAGTGATGTGAGAGTGATGTGAGAGTGATGTGAGAGTGATGTGATATAAGTGTTCCTACTGCGATCGCTCAGGTGTGCGCAGTGCGGTGATGAATGTTTTCCGTTTTCATTCTTCTGCTTGGAGAATGAACCATTGTCTGCGAACCCACTCAGTTTTTGAAAAGCCCATTGCTCTTGCAACTTGCTATCCTTTTGATCATATTTCTGTAACAAGAAAGAATAACAGGCATGTTAGTTTGTGATAGTATGTGAGTGCAACTCTGCAATGGTGCGAGCATTCTCGTGATACCAAATGTTTTGTTCAAATGTCACTGGGAACTGCTCAAGTTCCACATTTATTTGCAAGTTGGTATCAGCAAGTATTACTTTTAATGTTGTTTGCAAGAGTAACCTAGGTCACCAATATGACAAAAGCAATGAAATCAAATAAAATTATAGACAACAGTGAAACAAATAGAAATCGGAGCAATAATAATTACATGACAGAAGATATTAAAACGGTGGACAAACATACACAAATATATAATACATTTCCTCTTACGAAAATTAACTCGGATAAATTACTTGTACAAACCGTTCATAGTACACTTAGGTTAAGAAACAGCACGGTATCAGTGTGATTATTACACTGGTATGTAAATAGACAATGATGTATATCAAATACAACTGCAAAATCGACAGCTTTGCATTACATTTTCATTGTATGGAAGAGTAAGCGATGATTTTAATCGATGGAATTCCAGGTGTTTGGGTATTATCAAAGAATGAGTGAGAGCCAGGGAAAGTTAGGGCTTGTTGGACTATGCCCCGGTTGGATTGGAGTATCTCTAATACTTATCATCTATCAACCTGACCACACACGTGTTCGTGTTGTAATACATTGGCTGTGCTTGTGATATAACGTGGCACGTGTGGTACCATGCAAATCTGCACCAAACACAGAACATTTTGAATGAGCGGCCCCAACTGAGCCATTGGCACAGCGAGACAACAACTCCCATGGTGGAGAGAAACATCACTGAGCAGCAGCTGATTAGTACATTCCAAACACTCTACCGTGCCGCTCATGCACACATGAGCAATGTTTGTCTTCTCAACTGACATTTCACTTTCGCAATTCAGAGTGCTGCAGTGATGGGCATGCTAGTCATAGAGGCAACAGTTGGTAAGGTTCCATCATTTCAAATCATGGCACATCTCTCATTCCAATGGCTGGGTAGAGTTTTCTGTGGAGTATATATTTAAGATACCCCTGATGTAATTCCTTGCATTCGCAGTAATTTTCAAAAGTTTCACCAAGCTATGTTATTCTCTCACTACAATAACTTTTACAAGGCACACCCTGCATTTGCTTTTTTGCTTCATAAAACGAACTTGAGCCAATAAAGTAAATATACCTAAACGTGATATATGTTAGGCAGTACATCAGACCAACTGGAGTATTCTATCTTTCTATGCCCCACGTTATCAATAACATGCCCTGACCACGTAATCTGCATGAAATGGTGGGGCCATCGTCCAGCAGTGGATTGATAAAAGGCCTGTACATTTACATTAGAGTTTTAAATGAAAATCTGTAAACCGGTAACCATTTTCAGAATTGGTTACCGCTTCCAAAAGTCAGAAACCGGTAACCGTTTCCCGTGGATTCTTAGAAATGAGTGCAAAGAATTGTGGCTCACGAATATACAAACCACATTTTCCCTTGTTTCTTAGTCAAAACCTAAAGCTACTGCCTTACAATGGATTATTTGCACACGCCACTGTTGGTGGAAGAGCCTCCATAATTGGGAGCTTGAGAATGTATTTCTTCTTCTTTAATGCTGCCTAACGGCGTGTGCGACTTCACGATGATATTGGTCCCGGTCTAGCACGGCGTGTAGAGTTTGTGCTGTTGTTAATTGTAGCCATGTTTTGATGTTACTGAGCCATGTCGTTTTTGGCCGTCCTGGTCGTTTTTTCCCTTCGATTTTTCCTTCCAGGATTTGCTTTAATAGCTGGTATTTGTGGTCGTTTCGGGCAATGTGGCCTAGGTAGTAACACTTCCTGCTAATGATGGTCTTCAGCAGTTGCCTGTCAGTGCCCATATCTTGCAGAACTTGTGTATTGGTGGTTTTGGCTGTCCATGGGATTTTCAGCATTCTTCGATACAGCCACATCTCGAAAGCTTCGAGCCTTTTTGTTGCTGTTGTTGTCAGTGTCCACGTCTCTACTCCGTACAGCAAAATTGACCAGATGTAACATTTCAGTGTGCGCAGTTTCAGTGATGTACTCAAGTTGCGGTCTGCAAGGAGTGTTTTCCATTTAATAAATGCTTGCCTTGCTTGTTCAATTCTGCTCTTGATTTCGAGAATGTATTTGGTCTACTCTTCCAGGCTGACCAGACATTTGGGCATATCCACACTTTGTCGCACCACGCGCGACCTGCCGATCGACTGTAGTTGGACCCATTTACACTATTGGGTGGACAGAGGCGGGGTGTGATTTGAGAAACCTGCTCCGTTGTTTCTACTGGCATGCCAGGCGAATGAATGGAACCGGCGATCTCCGGATTTTGTCAGGGCAGTGCGCTCGTCATTACATCACTGTGGCAGGTCCTTTTGATTATCAGTGAAAAGGGTAGAAATGTTTGTTAATAGCAAGACATGGCTATACGTGCCTCAAAGCAGTAACTGGTTTTTACAGTTGTTTCAAATGCAGTTAGCAGTATGGCAATACAAGCAATGTTGAGAACCCCAATGCGCATGTACCTGCACTGGCTTGTCTGCAACGGGATTGTGATGCAGGGCATGCCAATCCCTCAGCTGCCGCTGTTTCTCCTTAAATGCCACGATGTGAATGCCTCTCTCATCTGTGTGGGAGCAAGAGCAGCGAGGGTGCATTACCGACTGCGTAAATTCAGCGCAAAAATCACTTTCAACACACGCGATGCTGTCCCACACTCTGAGTGTATGAGCCATTCAGGCCCGTACGACAACACGTAATTATGTGCGCAGAGTCTTTGTTGTTTTATGTGGAAGTGTGTGAAGATGAGGGAATTCATTGGAACTTTGTAAAATAAAGGCCATAGATCTTGACTTAAAGCTTCATGCTTTTGGGTCTTTCGGTAAAGTCACGTAGATAGGTTCAAAGAAAATAATAAAACTATCAAAAAAACAACGAAGTTTCGATCGCAACACAAGTGGTCGTCTTCATGAAAAAAAGGAAGACGACCGCTTGTGTTGCGATCGAAACGTCGTAGTTTTTTGTTATTTTTTTATTATTTTCTTTGAACCTATCTACGTGACTTTACCGAAAGACCCAAGAATATGAAGGCCATAGAGCAATGAAATCGGTATATGTGCAGGTCCTGGGTGGATTGTTCCATTGCAAGATGAGGAAAGGTAGCAGTGGCTTGGGGAGGCCTTCATCCAGCAGAGAATTAATAATGGCTCATGTTGATGATGTAATGCTCGATAGACATTATCAATGTATAACTGCGGCGCAGTATACCACTGCGACTTGACATATAGCCCTCCTGATCCTGAATATATAAACATGTGAGTGTATATTTTTAGTGCGCCTTGTTGAAACATTCTTTGGCCTTTGCTTTTTCAGCAACCCCTGGAAACGTCATCTCAGCCCTCTTGTGAAATAATATTTTAAAAAACACACACTGGAGTGTCGAGCATAGAGGGGCCATTGTCAGCGTAGGTGTGTGTCAGCTTGCTTTCGTGTCCACTCGCCTACTTGCCAGTCTATTTGTCCACGAATATTCTGTCTGGGAATTTGTCTTTATTATTGATATTATCTACGAAATGGAATAATGTTAAAACGCAAGGGTTGCCGCAGGTTACTCATTTGGGATTCTGCAGAGCAATCATCACCCCCTGTTGGCAGCTTAATGCCCAGTTTGCAAGCAAGGTGCTGAGTCACCTCGTATCACAGAGATAGCTGCCACTGAGGATGCCCTTTTAATGGTGTTTGAGATGAGATGCAATGTAATTTGTCCTGAGACGTCTGCGCGTATAGGAAGGCACCGTATCAAAAACAAATCATGATCGTTGTTATTATTAGCCACGGTCAATCCACTGTTGGATGAAGACCTCCCCAAGCCACCACCACCTCACATGATTTTACAATGCAATAATCCACTCAGTACTTGCACACAAAACTGATTTCATTGCTCCATCTCCTCAGTGTTAGATCTTCTCGGACGCTTTCCATTCCTTGACTATCACTCGGTGATTACTCTTGCCCATCGGCCACCATCCCTTGTAACCGTGTCATCTCCTGTCCAAGACAAATAATATAATCTACATAATTAAAAAATGTTATGATCAACAGAATATAGTTATTCTTTTTTTCAAAATAAAGACGTTAATTACATAATTGTTTCAAAATCATGGTGATTAACGAACAATATATAGAACGGAAACTGAAAAATGTGCAAAGAAATATGGAAAGATGCAGGTGTGGAATTACATTGATATAGAGAAAGAGGAACACATGGATTAGACAACATTCACAGGCCAAGGATATTATCCAAACGCTTAAGTACAGCGAGTGGGCTTGGTCAGCACACATTGCGGCTGGAAGGGACGATGGATAATGGTCAAGAGTAATGTCGGAGTCGTAGCCAAGTAAAGGAATGCATGTGAAAAGGCATCTACCGAAGAGATGGTGAAATCAGCTCGTATGCAGGTCCTAGATGAATTGGAATTGTTACATCGCAAGATTTGCCGGAGGCCTTTATCCAGCAGTGGATTGACCATGGTTGCTGCTGATATAAATAATGTACTGTACAGTATAACCCTTTGTCAAATTACTGCTGGATGAAGGCCTCCACGTGCTGCTTAGTCGTGGGAGTTGTCTGGTCATATTCCACGACATGGATCACTGTGGATGGGTGAATTAGAGGGTGCGGTATTCTGGCATCAGCACTAGAGAAATAGGGTCATCAGGTAGAGCGTTGGCCCCACTAGCGCCTTGTGTGCCATACTGATCTTAAAATGTGCCCACGAACAACATTTACACCAACAGTCTACACTCCACAGCATATAGCCAGCTGCGTATTTAGCCTATGTTTGTGTGTGTGTATATATACATACAGTATATACATATTGTCATTTTATCTGACCAAACAAACCCTGTTAACACTGTTGTCATAATCAGTTAATGTCCCATTTGTTGTCATGTGATTGGTTTTTAACTAAGGGGTTCAGAGCTCAAGCAACTGTTGGTATTGCCACATGGAGAGGTGACATCTGGCAACCAGTGGACATGTGACACTTCTCACAATGCCAATCAGATGCCTCCCAATCAATTAAAGGATGCTCTTCTCCCGTTTAGAGCCCTGGGACAATGGCGGAAATTCTAAATTCCTATGGTGGATTCTAGATTTCCTATGGTGAAGGCATCAGAAAACCTTCATCCAGCAGTGGATTGACGCCATAAACATATCAAGGACTGACTTGACTGCGGTGTGTGTATATATAGCCTTGCATAGAACAACCGCTGTGGCCCCCCCACTAACAAGTACTAATTTTAATCACCCCGGAGGGATGATGACCTGAGCTGACCACCGGAACTCTCCCACCATTGCAGACTGCGCTATAAGCCGCGGTGTCACGCAGACTGTTGTTTGACAGAGGTGACGACACGAGACTAACGCGACTCATCGCATTTCTTGTTGAAGCCACCTTCTCTATTTGTTCCTCGGCATCAACACTCGCTGCTAAGGAGATCGGAAAACCCCACGACGAGTTTGTAAGTGATGCAATCTTGGCAACAGACTCGTGACAAATGGGATGAGTCCAAACAAACAGGGTTCACCCCTTACGTGGCTCGGCAGCGTCACCGCTCACTCGCATAGCAGCGCGCGTGCTGTTGTTGTTAGCCAATGTGGGACGAGCTATTTGAACAGCAACAACAACAACAACGCGTGCGTGACAGTCAACACACGCGATATCCAAGCCTTGCGATCGTCACGTCACGTATGATAGATGCAGTGGTTCGGCATCCAAAACGTTTTGGCGCCTTGTTACGTCACATTTGTTTTGCCTGTTACCGTGGGTTGGAGCGATGGCGCAGTGGTGAGCACACTGTGCTATGCTCGAATGACCCATAGCGCAGGGGTCCTCAAACTACGGCCCGCGGGCCACATGCGGCCCGCCGAGGACATTTATCCGGCCCGCCGGGTGTTTTTGCCGCCGCTGCCTGTCTGTTACTTTTTTTCTACATGAGAAGGACGGTCATTGGTGGAAGAGGGAGAGGGGGCGGAGTTCCCCCCAATCAGACTGCATTGATGGGCAGTGCAGTCTGTATGTCTCTGTGTGGGCAAAGTTATTGCTGGTATATTGTTTTTGTAGCGCTGTATATATATTGGTATTTTACTAATATCAATTTTGACTCCCTAGGAAACAATGATGTCAAGAAAGAGAAAAATTTACTCGGAGTGTAGGATATTCAAAGAACAGTGGACTTATGATTACTTTTTCATGCAGTACAAGGAAAGAGCTGTGTGTCTAATATGCCAGAATATAGTGTCTGTGTTCAAAGAATACAATTTACGTCGACACTATGAAACTCAACATAAAGATAAATATGATTGTTTGGTCGGAGAAGTGAGAAAAGATAAAATATTAAAACTGAAAAATACATTAACAACTCAGCAAAATACTTTTGTGAAGCAGAAGAAGCTAATAGCGTGCACTGGCAGACCATTCGTGGAGGGAGAATTTGTTAAAGAATGCCTTCTTTCTGTTGCCAAAGAGATGTGTCCAGAGAAGGCCGATTTATTTAGTACAGTGAGTCTTTCAGGACCTACAATTACACGGAGTATTGAAGAAATGGGAGACAATTTGCATCAGCATTTGCAAAACTCCACAAAAAAACTTTCCTATTTTTCCTTGGCACTCGACGAAAGCAATGATGTTCGTGATTCTGCACAACTTCTAATTTTTATTCGTGGGACAAATGACTATTTCGAAGTCACAGAAGAGCTTGCTGCACTGCAAAGCATCAAAGGAACAACTACAGGAGAGGATATCTTTCGATTTAAAGCTTTCGTGACTGCAGGGATTAATCTTCTTGGTTCTTTCGGTAAAGGAGTCATGTTTGCATAGACCGCAAACATGACTCCTTGCAAAAAGGTGTCAGTTTTGTTGCCAGATAGAAGGGTAAAGAACCAATTATCATATTTTTACTGGCAAATGAGGTCCCCATAGTGTAGATGCTTGCCCCGAGCTCTCATACTCTGATGGTGCATTGTCCTTGAGTTGTGCGCCTTTTGGCGTCATCTGGTCCAACCCATATGAGACTAGGCTCGAAGGAAAGCTGTCTCGGGTGTGGACCAATCAACTTCAAGGACAGTGCACATTATCAGAGTTATGTTCTTTTGTTTGTATTATGACTGCAGGTATTGCGGTCTATGCAAACATGACTCCTTGCAAAAAGGTGTCAGTTTTGTTGCCAGATAGAAGGGTAAAGAACCAATTATCTTTCGGTAAAGTCACATAGAAGGGAAGTAATAAAATAATAAAAGTAAAACATAATAAAATAATTCTCACGACGTTTCGGCCACAACGCAAGCAGCCGTCCTCAGGTGAAAACCAGGTCTGTTGGGGAGACAGCGTCTGAATGAAACAGCACACGAGCTTGGAGCATATATAAGCTGGGTTGGAAACGGGGGAAAGAGTGCCTTGACAAAATAATTTAATAATAGTACTACATATGCAGCACGGGCATATGTAGTACTAATCACATTCCTGCATTTCCCATAAATATGCAAAATTCCTCTTGATATGCAAATTCTTTTGTCAGGGCGCTCTTTCCCCCGTTTCCAACCCAGCTTATATATGCTCCAAGCTCGTGTGCTGTTTCATTCAGACGCTGTCTCCCCAACAGACCTGGTTTTCACCTGAGGACGGCTGCTTGCGTTGTGGCCGAAACGTCGTGAGAATTATTTTATTATATTTTATTTTTTATTATTTTATTACTTCCCTTCTACGTGATTTTACCGAAAGAACCAAGAAGAGAGGATATCTATGAAAAGGTTTGCCAAACTGTGAATGGTTTGGAGCTGAACTGGGCTAAACTAGCCAGTGTGACAACTGATGGTGCTCCTAGCATGGTGGGGTCTAAGAAAGGAGTAATTGCTCGCATTAACCAAGAGATGGACAAACATAACCATTCTCATCCAATAGCCATACACTGCCTCATCCACCAACAACCGCTGTGTAGTAAATCACTGAAGTGGGACTCTGTTATGAAATTTGTGGTATCTTGTGTAAACTTCATTAGAGGTCATGCACTAAACCACAGACAATTTCAGGAATTTCTGTCTGAGCTAAATGTTGACTATGAAGATGTTCTGTATCACACAGAAGTCCGTTGGCTGAGTCGAGGGAGAGTTTTAAAACGTTTCTATGACTTACTTCCACAGATTACAGCTTTTCTGCTTTAAAAAAACAAAGAAGTACCAGAGCTCAATGATGCAGAATGGAAATGGCACCTTGCCTTTCTGACAGATGTAACAGAGCTACTCAACAGTTTCAATGTGCACCTTCAAGGAAAGGGGAAGCTCATCTGTGATATGCAATCACATGTCAAAGCATTTGAAGTAAAATTAGGCCTCCTCATCAAACAAGTGAAGGAGGAAAACTTCTGCCATCTCCCCACAACTAAAAATCTGTTAGCGGAAAAACCATTGGTTGCAATTCCCAAACAAAACATGTGTGGATTCACTGGAAAAATTGCAAAAGGAGTTCCAATTTGGATTTAAAGAGCTTCATCTCCATGAACAGGACATACAGCTTTTCCGTAACCCATTTTCTATTGACATTGAAAATGTGGATACAATTTACCAAATGGAACTGGCTGAACTGCAGAATTTTGACTCTCTGAAAGACGCATTCAAGTCAAGCAGCCTTCATAATTTCTATGCATCTCTCCCCTCTGAGACATATCCTCATCTCAGGAACCATGCACTCAAAATGGCAACCATCTTTGGCAGCACTTATGTCTGTGAACAGACTTTTTCCAGAATGAAACATTTGAAATCTCCAACCAGATTTAGACTAACGGATGCACACTTGCATCACTTGTTACGACTAGCAGTGACAAATATGGAACCGGACATTGACCATCTCATTAGCCAAAAGCAGGCCCATAGTTCCCATTGAAATACTGGCAAGTTTGTTGATTTAACTTTACTGGAAAGTTTGTTGATTTAACTTTACTTGTTTTTCATTTTAAATATTGTATTTGTTCTCGTTTTGTTTCTTCACTTCAAAATAAGATATATGCAGTGTGCATAGGAATTTGTTCATAGTTTTTTTTTTTAACTATAGTCCGGCCCTCCAACGGTCTGAGGGACAGTGAACTGGCCCCCTGTTTAAAAAGTTTGAGGACCCCTGCCATAGCGTGATTCTCGATCATGGCTAACATCAGGGGCGAGGGATATCTCAACCGTTCCTGGGCGCTCCCTTGACCAAATCCACACTGACCAGTGTGGTGAAGTAATAATGGTGAAATAAGCACTATGGCTAACAGGGTAAATAATGACAGCCCTTTGCTAGATAAAACACTATACTTTCGTTAATAACGCTGTGGCTTTAAGATATATATATATACGAGGAAATGTGTTAAGCCATGGCCCATCTTCATTTACGTGTCCGAAGAAGGAGCATTGCCAGAAAAGTCGCCCATTATATTTTTTTCTTTTAAGGTCACTGTTCTTTAAAGGTGTGGAGTTTTTTTCGTAAGTATATATTCACAGTTTACTTGTGCTGAACCACTCTTATTGTCAGGGTTGGCTATGTACGGCGCGGAAGAAGTTCAACATACATGCGTACTCCTAATAAGGCGGTGTGGCTAACGGGATAAACCCTTTATTGTTTATTTAGAGGAACGGATACGAGAAGGCGAATTGTCTGCTATTCTATTGCATTGTTTATTCCTCTGGACCGGTGTTCATGGCAAACGTGGTGAGGCTCGGATTTGTGCTGTTGCACCACTGCCAACGTCAGCACTTTAACGTTTGTGAATTGACTTTGTACTCCATCACACAAAATCACCAATTGCGTCATGGAAAATATAAGTAACAATATTAATAAGCAGACTATACGCCGCTGTCACAGATTAAAGATGCGTCAAATAATAAGTATTCCATCAGCCACAGGGTCTTCTGGGAGTACACAATTTCAGCAGCAATGGTTCAGCACAAACTCTGGATCGGTTTCGACATTCAGTGCATCACCGGTAGAGTGAACGGGTCAGTTGGGTCCAACTCGCCTAGAGAGCACTCACCAGGGGCAGCGCCTTTCTCCTCCCTCCTACAGGCTGGGGTCGCCATGGATAGCACACGCTGGAACGTTCCGTTTCTTACACAGCCCCGCTGCTCTGTCGATTCCACTGCAGGATCAGCCGCTCCGTGTGGAACAAAGGCCACCGCGTCTGTGGCGTGTTTGGAACATTGTTGCCACAGCGGAGAAGGGGTCTGCACTTCATATGACCTGTTCAGTGCGTGGGAATTCTGGGTGGAAGCTTTGGGCTTGAGCTGGCTCGTAACATTCAACAGAGTGCTTTGAACTTTTGACTGGAAATGGCTTTCGAACGGTGATGTTCCTTGCAAATATCTAACTGGCCCACGAACATACTCCCGCTGTAGAAGCCATGGGTTTCGTCCTACTGTCACGGCATCCTTTTGACCGCACGAAGCCTCGGCAGCCGCAGGACCGCTGCCTCTTGAATGGGCGAACGCGTCTTTGTCAAGAGCCGCGTAGTGGCAGAGCCACGCGTCCTCCACTCTCCTCCTCGTCGCCTTGCTCCCGCCAGCCCCGCCCGGGAACTCGTGCTCCCCCCGGTACACCTCGTCCAGCGCGGGACCCGACGTCGATGCGGCGCGGCTAATGGCCCTCCCGTCCTCCACGGTAAACTCGCGGATGTTGAGGCTGTTCTGGCGGCCGGCGAAGCTCGGCAGATCCTGAACTTTGCTGTCGGCCTTGAGAGGCAGGCTGACGGAGCGCGATCGGACGCGGTGACGGGACAGCAGAGGGCTGCCTCCGCTGGGCTCGGGCATGGGCAGACTGCTCGACAGCTCGTGCAGGGAGCCGTCCGCGGGATCCGGCTTCGCCGGCGAGGTGAGCAAGCGGTCCCTCGCACCGCAGCTGTGCGGAGTCGACGGGAATGCATTGCCCGGGCATACCATGGAAACCGTTTCTCTGGGACCATTAAAAGCCTCTTGTTGACTTGTCAAGACGTTGAAGGGCACTTTGGAGCGTTTGCCGACGTTAATTTGGTCGCCAGTTGGAACGGAGCCAGCGCCGCTCCCCTCCCACGCCCTCCCGCGTCGCCCGACCGCTGCGGCCGAGAGCAGCGCGTCGTTCTCTTTGTCCGAAAGCGTTTCGCCGGGCGCGCATCTCGAGGTGCCGCTCTTCGCGGACTTCGCCTCCGGGTCTTCTCTCCGAGTCCTCGCTCCAGTGTCAGGCGGAGAGGCGTGGGGCGCAACGTCGCTTGGTGACTCCCACCTCTGCTCTTTCTCCCGGCACAGTCTCTGCGAGAGCCTCTTGTGTTTGTCCACGACCGACGACGCTACCCAGGCGGTGTCGGGCAGCAGCGAGATAATTTGTCTCTTCTTCTCGAGCGTGATCCCGTGGCACGGCTGGGACAGCCTCTCTCCCTGCTGCTGCTGCTGGCATCTCTGCTTCACCTGCGGGCCGTGCACGAGCGACGCGTGTCCATCCCCTACAGACACTGCGCGTGCCGCTGCTGTTGTCGGTTTCTGTTCGTCTCTCGCGTAAGATTCGCCTGCAAATCGTGAGAATTTTGTTTTATATCCTCTCACTTTTTTTTGGAATATTTTTTACCGAACACAAGCTTACAGGAAAATGCTAGATAATGATGTAATTCATACAAGAAAAATAACATTTGCCTGTTTTTGTTTACGTGCATGTAAATCGAACGCTGCACACAGGATCAGTACACGAAATATTGGTTTTAAAATAACTGTTTTATTTTAATTCAATCGATAACGCTTTTACAAAACTCGAATGTTATCTAAAAGCAAAGCATATACCGCATTAGCATACACACCGCAAACAACACCACCCACACTGAGATCATTCGCGCCACCCCATTGTTTCAAATATTATTTTTCATTGAAATCAAGAGAACAGAGCGCCACCACTTTTCGTAATCGGGTCGCACTCTGCTGCTGCTGCCGCCGCCGCCTTCTGGCTGACATCTCACCGAAGTTACCTGGATGATGGTGGTGCTGCTGCTGCATGGCTCGGTTAGCGGAGCAGGAATGCAGCGCGACGTTATTGTGCACGGCACTCGCTGCCTCCTCTACGGTCATCAGTCACGCCCACTCGCTCCGCACGAGACTGCTGCCTCCGTTCGCGCGCGACGCTCGGACCCCCCCCCCCCATCTCTCTCTCGTCACCCGCGTCTCCACGGCCATTGGGGCGACTTGGCCAGGCCGCCCTCTCAGCCACCCGCACTGGCGCCGCCGCTGCTGCTGTTGGCGTTGCGCGTTCGCGCCGCTCGTTGTGTTCGGCGTCGCGGCATGAAACGCGATCTCGTTCCGCGTCCCGGCCACTTGTTGAGCGGCTCTGATCCCAGTGAGCCGCTCAGTCTCTGGGCTCGCACAAAAAGGGCGGGCGGGCGGGCGAGCGGTTGTGCCCTCTGTACCAAACGCGGCCGCTCAGTGGGATTATCCATATCACAATCGGGAGCGAATCTTTGGTGGAAAACGCTGAACAATTTGTTCTTTTTGGAAACAATGGCTCGGCGTTGGATGTTTGTGTATTATGATTTCATTCACGTGGTTATTTAGTCCTATTATTTAATCGGTCTTGTTTGTTATTGGCATTCGCTGGCACGCCATGCAATAACAGCCAAAGCGTTATGTAATGCACTGCAACGCCACACAGAAAGTCTGAAAAAGACCCGGACACTACGTGTCACTGTCGTGAAATGTGTTGTGAAATATTCTTCTCGGGACAGAGTGATCAGCACACAGTGATACGTGCGATGCTGCATTGCGAACCGAAATCTCTCAGTTCAATTCCAGGCCTTAGTTCACCATCAGGGGCGAGTGATATCTGATTCAGACGTGCCCCCCCCCCCCATCCTTCAACCCAACACTGAAAAGCGGTGGTGAATTATGGTCAAGCAACCCTCATGATTGCCACGGCTTGGGGAGCCTCTTCATCCAGCAGTGGATTTACAAAAGGCTGTAAAATGTCATTCATTATATAACACACTTCTGTATTATAATTGTATTAACTTCAAACCTTGGTTGTTTTTGTTAGCACTGTAGTTGCCATTGACGTGATCAGGTAGTCTCCCATGATTGGACGGATGCAATTGAGCAATGCCCATGTTAGACTCAGTTAACATTGGTCTGGCTCTTTCTACAGCAGATGTACACAGAGTACGGCTGCTGTATATGCTTCCCACCATAAACCTTTCTCTACATGAGAGTTCCCAATCGTGGTTGGGGGTTGACTCAGCCCATCATCCCTCCTTTCGAGGTGAATGCAATGAGTACCACTTTTTGGGGAATTCAACAGTGGTTTCCTGATGGAGACACTCTCCCCTGCCATAGGAATGAGGAATTTCCTACCAAGGAAACACATTTACAAGCACAGCCTTGTGTTGAAAGCGTAGCAACAATTTTGTCTGATCTTATTCTTTGGGTCTTTCGGTAAAGTCACGTAGATTATCATCAAATAAAATAAAATAACAAAAAACTACGACGTTTCGACCGCAACACAAGCGGTCGTCATCAGGAAAAGGGGGGGGGGGGCTGGGAGTACTACAGTGCCACTTAATCTGAGTAAACACAATTGTTAAACTCGTGTCTGCTGCGTGTGTGCTTGTGTTTATTCTCCTTTCTGTGTAAGCGTCGAGGCCCCTTTAGAGTGGCAGTACGGTCGTGGCACGCGTCTCCGTGCTCAAGGGGGTCACTGACGCATCCCCAACAGACATCTCTCCAAGGCTTGATACATTTCATCAGTACTCATACTATTTGGTTCTTTCGGTAAAGTCACGTAAGTAGAAATAAAATAAAATAACATTTCATCAGCATTATCACTAAATACATATTCTCATCTTGGTGTAAATATACAAATATCTCCTCTCCTGAAGGTGACTGCTTTCAACAGACCCCAAGACTCCTGAGACACGATTTGTACTCCATCCAGGCTCTTGTCCTGCTCTTAATCTGAATGAAGTTCTGTTTATGATAACCCTGATCATTGAATTCACAAAAGTGGCCTATGGTGTACGTTGCGGTCTCCAACTTGTATTAACTTCACATCTCTCTTTATAAGGGCCATTGCCCAAAACGTCGTCTGTTAGATATTTGTTTCTCTTAATGCCAATTTGTTATTGAAAAATGTGTTGTGTTTTTGTTGTTTGTGGTTGTATCGCCTAGATAAGGAACAATTATATATTAATAAACTTGTTTTCTTTCTTTATTAATGCGACAGACACATTCACTCGTGTGTACAGATTCACGTGTTTTTTTTCCGTATCCTATTGTCAAACGATGAGTCAGGTGGCGACCAGCTACTGCTGTGAATCATGTCATGGAAAATAGAGGCGAATGACTCATCCGATGCATGGCCTAGCTAAACTCACCGCTTAGTTTTTAAAACACATATCTGGTTCATTAGTGAATAAGAACAATAACATACCATTTAGATTTTAAATATAGCAGCTTAAGAGTTGATACTTCCATTCACAATACTACAATACATTTCAATTCACGAGTGAACATAATTTATTATGCGACCATAACGTTTTTTTAAATATTAGGACTGTGAAAGGGTGGAGATAATAATACAAAAAAATACAAAAAATTATAATAATATCAATGAGTTTCTTTAACTTCTAAGTACTGTGCAGTCAAATCTGCAACACACAAGACACATAGACAGTCGGGGCAATCCTCGATCTCGAACCAGGTGTGGTCTCATCGATATCTCTCTTGCAAAGGCCCCTCAGCTATAAAACAAACATGTGCTCTAGAAATAATATGAAGTGTGTAGAGTTTCATGTATATGTTATTTAACCATGTGAGAACTCAGGAGACCAGGATAAGCCGAATTGTAAAAGTGACGTTGGTGATGCTCATTATTAGAACTATTGTTATTTCCTGTACGCTTAAATACCTCCTCACAATGAATTCTGGTAAGGGTGCACGTTTCATTTCCATAGCAGGAAACAAAGCAGGGTGACTGAATCGCTGTTCACCCTGGCGTTCCATGCGCGATGCTGGGGAGAGGGGATCACATGGCTCCACAGGTGACGCGTTTCCCTGGGAATGCCATGGCAATAAGACTGAGAATGCGGGGGCAAATAATTGCCTAATAGGATCGTGTGAAGCCTGCTGAATAGCCCCAAGCAGCTCTGAGCTTTATGTTTATTATCGATTTTCTGTCGTGTTTGGAAATTATTTAATCGTATTCCTAACCATATTTGCACAGCTTGGTACACAGTCTAAAAATAATACGAACATCTTGGCACTATTCAAAGTCAAAGGTGATGTCCTGCTCTGAGACAACGTGAGTTTCCTGTTTATAGCCCTGAGCTAACGGTGGCAATTCGACATTCCTATGGCGGGGGCGAGTCTCAAATTAACATTATTATCCCCCAACCACGATTTAAAGTCGCAACATTCCGATTGCGAGCCGTTTGCTCTTCCGCTGAGCCACTTGGCACTCACGATGATGTGTTTACGTGTTCTAAAAGTACTTACATTTTGTAAATGGAAAAGAAATGTCAATGTATGCTTAGATTGCGGTCTCGACTATCCACTTATCCAGACAGAAACTTGACTGCTGTCTGAACACGACGATGGTGGCTCTTGTGTGTGTATAGGTATTCAAACTCATGCTCCCTACTCTTAACAGCAAATCTAAAATAACACGAAACGGCAACACAGGACTCACGGGGGACTTGGGGGTCTTGTTCTGGGAATTTGTCATGGCCAAAAACACATCGTCATACACTGTTTAGATTTGCCACCTTTTCCACTGTATACGAAACCCTGACCAGTGAGCGTAGATACAGTGAGGGAAAGAAATATTTGATCCCCTGCTGATTTTGTACGTTTTTCCACTGACAAAGAAATGATCAGTCTATCATTTTAATGGTAGGTTTATTTGAACAGTGAGAGACAGAATTACAACAACAAAATCCAGAAAAACGCATGTCAAAAATGTTATAAATTGATTTGCATTTTAATGAGGGAAATAAGTATTTGACCCCCTCTCAATCAGAAAGATTTCTGGCTCCCAGGTGTCTTTTATACAGGTAACGAGTCGAGATTAGGAGCACACTCTTAAAGGGAGTGCTCCTAATCTCAGCTTGTTACCTGTTCACAGAAACAATTAATCAAACAGATTCCAAACTCTCCACCATGGCCAAGACCAAAGAGCTCTCCAAGGATGTCAGGGACAAGATTGTAGACCTACACAAGGCTGGAATGGGCTACAAGACCATCGCCAAGCAGCTTGGTGAGAAGGTGACAACAGTTGGTGCGATTATTCGCAAATGTCAGAAACACAAAAGAACTGTCAATCTCCCTCGGCCTGGGGCTCCATGCAAGATCTCACCTCGTGGAGTTGTAATGATCATGAGAACGGTGAGGAATCAGCCCAGAACTACACGGGAGGATCTTGTCAATGATCTCAAGGCAGCCGGGACCATAGTCACCAAGAAAACAGTTGGTAACACACTACGCCGTGAAGGACTGAAATCCTGCAGCGCACGCAAGGTCCCCCTGCTCAAGAAAGCACATATACATGCCCTCTTACAGACCAAAGTGGAGCTCTTTGGCATCAACTCAACTCGCCGTGTTTGGAGGAAGAGGAATGCTGCCTATGACCCCAAGAACACCATCCCCACCGTCAAACATGGAGGTGGAAACATTATGCTTTGGGGGTGTTTTTCTGCTAAGGGGACAGGACAACTTCACCGCATCAAAGGGACGATGGATGGGACCATGTACCGTCAAATCTTGGGTGAGAACCTCCTTCCCTCAGCCAGAGCATTGAAAATGGGTCGTGGATGGGTATTCCAGCATGACAATGACACAACACACGGCCAAGGCAACAAAGGAGTGGCTCAAGAAGAAGCACATTAAGGTTCTGGAGTGGCCTAGCCAGTCTCTAGACCTTATTCCAATAGAAAATCGGTGGAGGGAGCTGAAGGTTCGAGTTGCCAAACGTCAGCCTCGAAACCTTAATGGTATTTAGCTCCTGAACATATTTGCATATGTAAGAATTGAAAAGAAAAACCTGCAGTTTACTATGATAAATGTGAACATAATACCGGCACCAGATCTCGGTACAAATTAATTCCTGCCATCCGGACACAGACGCCATCTCTGCGTGAAATCCGGATGGTAGCAACCCAACTCGTCGAGAGACGATGTGTTATGGAAGTTGTAATTTAAAACAGCAATAACGCATTTTGTCATCGAAAATACCTTTGGGGGAATTTTTTTGTTTAAATCGGCTATACAATGGTAATGGAACTGCAAATAAAATTCCGACATAATAAGACACAGAAGTGTAATGAGCTTGTATATGTCGTGTGTATATGGCCAAATCACCCCTGAATGGGCACATTAGTGTCAAAAAGAAAAAGGAGATAAGCAAAGGTGAGCTTAAATTGTCTTGAATGGGCGACAACCATGCATAAAGGGTGTTATACCCTGTGAGATCATGTGGTGGGCAGCAGACTGCAGTGCAGGGAAATTATTTGTTATGCTGCACTTCTAGGCTCCCACGTCTTTTGCTCTCCGCCTTCACCAACCTGACCTGACCATTGCGGCATAGTCAAATTATATCATCAAAAAGTATGGTCAAGAAAACCCTGACGACCGACACGGTGTCGGGAAGCCCTCTTACAGCAATGTATTGCCAAATGGCCATGCATATGTAGTGACATGGAATTGGTCACTACGTAGCATAGCGCTGGTTGCTGGCAGAGAAGGGGATCTGCAGTTGCAGCAGCCCTGTCTGTCAGCAGGTCACGTGATACACCAGAGAGAAGGATGTAGGGGAAAGGTTACAGAGGGGGCACGTGAGGGAAGCCCGGGAACCCGCTCGTAGGTTCTAGACGAGGAGCGTGGCCGGGGCGGAGCGAGGCCACGCTGGGAGGATAAAAGGGAACCCGGAGCGAAAGCGCAGATGGTGCTTGTGTTCAATGTTCTAATTATGAGTTTCTGTTTGTCACACTGTAAGACGCTTCCTGGCAAAAAAAACCGAATGCATCTGTGCGGTTACCTCAGAAGGTTATTGCAGGTATTTGGCTCATATTTGAAATATTCTGCTCTGTATTAAAACAGGTTGTGTTCTGTAATTGTCTTTGCACTTCCATGCCTTCTGTGCACAACCAGTTAGAATGTGGACACGTGGCATTTGAGTGCTGGTCTGAGCGTGTCAATGGCTCTTGTAAAGATTCTACAGAAGGACTATATTGCTCAAAACGGCATGTAAGCAGGATGGGCATTGGAGTGGTCTACACGATTCTGACGGCCAAGGGGAAGAGACCGAACAGCGGATGGTGGGAGACTGTTAGGGCAGAACGATGGCTCTATGTAAGTCGATGGGTCTCTCTGTGAGTCTGTGGGTCTCTCTGTGAGTCTAAGTCTAAGGCCAAATCATAGGAGACTGTTGAGGCAAGTCCTGGATATAACCACTGTTGACTTCCCCAAGATGAGGTGATAATTCGTATCAAACTCTTATCGGATGATGGGCTAGTCAACCCCAACCCAGGATTTCAACTCGCAAACTTCAGATTGCGAGCCACTCTACCGAGGAGTCACCTGGTCGATGAACAAGATGCATTCCAAAAGAACGTATTCATGTTGGAAAACCAAATACTGCATCCTATAAAACCTCATTGTTGTGGCGTAGAAAACGTAACACAACTTGTCAACAAGGCGATACGGAGCCCATATGTTAACATCCACATTCCAATAAGTTTTTTTTGGGTTAGATCGCGTAAATATAAATGTGTCGTTAAACCCGCCACCAGCCCACACACCAGCGTGTTGGAGAATAAACCCACAACGTTCCGCCGGTAATTACAACCAGCCTCATCAGGCAACAGCAAATTGTGGCTGCCACCTGATGGTGCTGAATGTAATCACCGGTAAAACGTACTCGAAGTGTAAATGTTATGGGTTTACTCTCCAACACACTGGTGTGCTGAACTAGTAACGAATTGGCATGTTGACATGACAAACCTTATAATTGGCTGTGGCAGGTTTAAAAAAACATTTATATTGACACGATCTAACCCCCCAAAACCCCCCCTCTATTATGGATAATATTAGTAGCTAAGGCCTACGTGTGAATCCAAATACCCCACTGATGTACAGCATTGCCAGTTAACACCAGACAAACTCTGCCGGCACATTACGTTCGTGGGACAAGCCCGGGCTTGCTGTAATTATGGAATATTCCAGCGTCAACCCGACAAGGCACCACGTGATGCCCCCAGCCCCCACAGGCACGATGTCGCCTTTCGGCAGCCAAAGTGTAAACACGGCACTTGTGATGTCTTCAGTGGCCGGGTTGTGAATTTACACGCTCCGATATTGAGTCGGGCAGTCCACACAAGCATGTGGAGAGCGCGCCCTTGGGAGGAGTTTGGGCCTTCTTACAATCTTAATTTTTGTTACATTTATTTTTTACATCGTGTCATGCATTATGAGTTTTGATTAGGTTTAATTTTAATATATGCTGTATACATCTATTCGATTCCATTGAGATGGTACATTCATCCAGCAGTGGATAGAGTGATTCGATTACCGTACAGTGTGATTCTAATAATTCTAATACGATTCTAATTCTACACATATCTCGTCAAGGAACATAAACCAGCATGATTAGGATAGCCATCGAACAAAGACGGTCACCGCATCGCGCGCTTTCAGATGTGCTTCTGCGGCCGTCTGGAACGCTCTTCCTTCCGGTATTGGAAAACCACTGGTGCTGTGTACTTTTAAATCTGGATTGAAAACTCATTTCTTTAAAACAGATTTTTGTGTTTAGTTTGTTGTACTTCCCCCACAACCCCGATTAGCACGGTTGACTACGTACGGTGCCAAATAAATTTTAGATATATACAGTACATACATATTTATTCAGGAGCACTTCCGTTTGCAAATGGCTCAAGTTCCATGCGAATAATCAGAATCTGTTTTTATATGATGGGCAACTTAAGTCACGTAGAAAATTATAATTGTATGAAAAAATTTATTGCTTTACAAAAGGAGACACTACTTCTCCTTTCCATATCTGTGCAAGTAATAAATACAAGTATTTTTTTCCGCATCCCATCAGCTACACAGCCATCTGGGAGTGCATTATTTCAGCAGCAATTGGTTAAACACAATAAAACGTGATGGCTTATGGTCGACATACACTGAACTATGGATACTAAACTATCTGGCTACGTGTTACTACCCTCTGGTGGACATAAATAATACTATTGTATTTCGATTTAAAGCTTTCGTGACTGCAGGGATTCATCTTCTTGGTTCTTTCGGTAAAGTCACGTAGAATGGAAATAATAAAACAACAAAAAATAAAAACAACGCAAGCAGCCGTCCCCAGGTGGAGAGCAGGTCTGTCATTCAGGCTCTACTCGACAGACCTGCCCTCTACCTGAGGACGGCTGCTTGCGTTGTGGCCGAAACGTCGTGAGAATCATTTTATTATGTTTTATTTTTTGTTGTTTTATTATTTCCATTCTACGTGACTTTACCGAAAGAACCAAGAAGAATACTATAGTACTAGCAAACTTCGACATTGAATATAGCTCCTTTACGATTAAACTACAATACTGTGCCGTATTGTACTGGTAACACGATGCCCTCTGGTGGCACTAACGCCAAAGCGTTAGGTGAAAGCAAACATTAAAAAAGTGGAAAATTTAATTTTTTGGGAAAAATTTAATTTTTTGGGGGAAAAAAACACGGATTATGTTCGTTGAAAAATGTGACATTTACAACTTTTTTTTTTAATAGATAGCATACTAAGCATCAACACGGCGCCTCAACATTCATAGTGGTTATATTGAGCCTAAACTTGATTTGAAGCTTTCGTGACTGCACGAATTATACTCTTTGGTTCTTTCGATAAAGTCACGTAGAAAGAAAATAAATTAAATAATAGAATACGACGTTTCGATTGCAACACAAGCAACCGTCATCAGGTAGAACTAAATTTGACAGACAAAACACAGACACGGAGACACACAGACACACAAGCAGAGAGACAACACGAAGACACACAGAGAGAGACACAACATAGACACAGAGACCCAATGCCTCTGTGTCGAGGCCTTAAATAGAGAGGGGGGGGGGCAGAGAGAGAGGTGGGTCTGCTGGAGCAGAAAGATAAGCATGTCAATGAAAGACCCAACAAGACTGGTACATTTATTGAGCCTGTTTAACACGTAGACTTTCGCGACCAATATCATCCATAATAGAGGTTTTTGGGCTAAATCGCGTAAATGTGTCGTTAAAACCCGCCACCACCAGCAAGACTGCTCCACAAATCTGGTTGTCGCCTGATGAAGCTAGTTGTAATTACCGGCGAAACGTCGTACTCAGATTGTAAATGTCGTGGCTTGGCTCTCCAACACACCGGCTAGTGCTGTACTAGTATACTACACTATACACTACTATACACTACACACTACACTGCACATTAGTGCTGTACTCGTGACGAATTGGCCACGTTCTGTTGACGTGACAACCCTTACTAGTTGGCTGTGTCGGGTGGTGGCGGGTTTTAAGGACACATTTATATATTTACGCGATCTAACCCAAAAACCTCTATTATGGATGTATTGAGCCTGTTGCGTTTGTGCCGTGTCGAGTGTGGGGTCTGTGCTGTGTCTGTGCTGCATCGACTCCGCCGTGTTGACTCTGTTGTCCGTGCCTGCTCCTGTCGACTTGAACGTCTCCGACTACTCTGCCTTTCCCGGAAGAGGCAGCCGCTTTCCCGTCGACACGCCCCCTTGCAGTTCGACACGCCCCCTTGCAGTTCGACACGCCCCCTTGCAGTTCGACACGCCCCTTGCAGTTCGACACGCCCCCTTGCAGTTCGACACGCCCCCTTGCAGTTCGACACGCCCCTTGCAGTTCGACACGCCCCCTTGCAGTTCGACACGCCCCCTTGCAGTTCGACACGCCCCCTTCCGGCTTCGGAAGAAGACACTTCCGCCACACAGCTCGAGGCGCCGACACGTGGAGCGGAGCGCGCAACTGCGGAGATGTTCCTGCAGTTCTACGTCGACGAGGCGGGCGAGCGGGTCTACACCCTCAAGGTGAGCGTGCACGGCTCAGAGATGGCGAGCGGCCGTGGGGGTTTGGGGGGGGGATACCGTCTCGTCGTGCCGTGCGGCGCGCCCTTGCTGTGTAGGCCCGACGCGGCCTACACCGCGGCTGCCTCGGAAACGAGACCCCCCTCAGCTCTGCCGATTAAACGCCAAATGTTTGTGTCGAAGCCATCGCTGATGCACGTACGAACTCCCCCTCCCAAACCGTGTGGCAGACGAGGTGTGTAAAAATATACTTATTTATATATATTTACGCCAAGGTCCGGATACGTGAAAGAGGCTACTGTTTTGCGCCCGTTACATTGAGTGAATTGCGAGCCCCTTTATTAATTTTCGTGACTTGTCTCGCTTTCCTATACCTTGTACTCCTGTCGGTTTTTGTATTGTAACTTTCTGATCCGCGCCTGCCGGACATCTGTGAAAAGATCTTCACAGCTCATTGGATTATTTCAGCCTACGTAAATGAGTGCTGCTACACAACGCCCACACGCTCGTGGCCTTCAAAGCAATATCGCCAAAGATACCTGTACACAAGCTAATGAAATAACCAGACAACTGTAATGGGACCGCATAATCATTTGCGAGTGGCCATATAAATAGACGGCGGGAAGAGGCCAGCAGTGGATTGTACATTGCCACAGAATGGAGCAGCTGCTTAGCACGTGGAGGCTCAGGCGCGCGTAGCTGTGCACGGTGAATCGCACAGCTGCAGGTCCACGAGCCGGCACCGACGCCACCACCTTTGTATTGCACACGACAGGAAACCCAACACGACACGTTCGCCAAGAATTCTGTCTTCACGGGGAATGTATGTAATAGGCGACGTTTCGGTCTCAGCCCAGAGATAGGAGATACGATTTGGAGACTGCACTTTAAAACATGAGGCCTGATAAGAATTACATTTAAAAACAACTTTCCTGATCCGTCTTTAAATCGGTACGTGCAGAGTTAAATGTTAGTAGGCAATCCAAATCGTTGTACTTTTATTTTAAAGCAGTGCTATTGACGAACGCTTTTGCGTTTTTTATTTGTCTTTGTGTACTACTGCAAACGTAGTTTTGGTAAAAAAATATATCAACTACCAGTTAATAAGTGTAAGAGTTATTTGACCATGCTGGTCACAGTGAGGGTTGGTGAAAGCTAGTCGCATTAGACATGTGAGCATACATGGAGCTTGCTGCATCGGCCTCTGCTGCCTGCAATGTAGAGCCGCAGCCTTGGTGGTTTCTTATGGTGGTTGCCCGTGCAGGCATTGTGCATGCTCAACTTTGCTTAGCTTCAGTGATCTGCCAAGATGCATTCTGGGTGATTTGGTCATTTTCACATCCTTGTGTCCATGCCTGCTAAATTAATGCAATTATATGTAGATAGCAACTTAACCCATTCCGTATAAATAATACCATATTACATTACAGAGCACATCCCAAAATGATGAAAGCGGATCCATTTGTGATGTGCATTGCTGATGTGGTCATTAGTCTTGAGTTGTATGTTAGTTATTGAGATATATGCTGTGCTAAAGCGGTTATATGTGTTGTGAGAGGGGTGTGTGTGATTCTTTGAGATAGGTACTGTGTTTAATCAGACGTGCGGTGATTCTTGTTCCTTACAGAAGCAGGACCCCAAGGGCGGCCCCACACTGTCTGCCCACCCCGCACGCTTCTCCCCCGATGACAAGTTCTCGCGCCACCGTATTATGCTGAAGCGCCGCTTCGGATTGCTGCTCACGCAGCAGCCTCTGCCCGTGCTGTAAGGCACGTGGGGGCTTGGCAGGTTGGGCACCACCAGAGATGGCTCACTCTGGGGGGAGGTGACCAACTGAGACGACCATCCTGCACAATTGCTTGCTCCGCATTTCCAGGAAGACCGCCAAGCAACTCGGTGGCACAAGAGAAGCCCGGCTTGGTTCCAGCATTTACCCCCCCCCCACCCAGGCTGGTTCCCAAGCCTGTGTGGTGTAGGCCTGGACATATTGCTGTGGTGTCATGGGCCATGGTAGACCGGTGGTATTGGCAGGGTCTATTTTCCCAGGCCAGTGCCAATCACTCGATCACCCTGCTCAATTACTGGAGACAGAACGGGAGTTTTTAAACCTGTGGTGTCTGTGCTCCCCTGCATCTGGTGATGTGTGTGAACCCTTTTCTGTGCCACCCCCTCATCCCGGATGGCTGTCTTGGGCCCACAGTGGTTGGCAGACCCTGCTTGAGAAGATCTGTACATGAAGCCCCTTCACCAAAACACAACTTAATTTAAGAGCAGAAGCAAAGCAATGCAGTGTACATCACAAACTCAATGTGTAAGATTACATTGAATTATATACGTGATTTGTGGGATTTTAAATAAAAATACTACTGGTGCCACGAGTTTGTCTCATTCTCACTTGAATCGTAAATGTTACTATTGGTGCAATGTGTAAACTTTATCATTTAATCGTAGTGTTAAATGGCAACTGGTGAATGGGTAACTATTCCTGGTTCAAAAAGTCAGGCAGAATATTAAGATTATTGTACCGATTGGCTCGCGTGAAAAAACCTGTAACGGGTCCGTTTTTGGCATTATTACACGGCATATACCACAGTAAAGTATGGTGCATAGCAATTGGCAGCACAGCACATCTGAGGATGCAACAGCAACAAAACAGTTAAGGCTTCTGCAGGGTTTTCAGCAGTTCGTTTTCTTGTACCAGGAGAAGACAGATGAGCAGGGTATTAAAAATCACATCCCACAATGAATAGGCTGCAAGTGAAAGGTCTTCAATAAAAAATTCACTCGTGGCTAAAGTCCCATGAAATCCCGACTACGCAATGTTCAGATAGTTGTCATCGGTAGGCAGGTGAAACTACCTTTGTAACAATTTCATCCCATATCAAACCGCCATCGCAAAGCTGCAGTCAATGCTGCTCCACTTATAACTTAGGTAAAATAATTCATGTCAAGACTCAACAGTTTACCTACTCAAGACGTATCCATATATAAAACAACCTCCACCTGATCGTCCAGACTTAAGTGCAGTTGCAGCTAGCATTACGCATACAGCCAAAACTGCCACATGAGGACATTAGACTCAGAAGAATGTAGTTCGGAGACAAGTACTGACGGTTGAGAGGCCTGGGTTGGAACCTTGCCTACTCCCTTTGGCCCTCAAAACATGCTCTCAATAAGTTGCCTCTCGTCTCGGCTGCTGCCTTACCCTGGAAAGCTACGAAGAAAACCCACGTATAAACCACGTGCAAATACCGGTCACGAAACCTTTCAGGTTCATAATAAAAAATAAGTTAATGCTCTAGGTTAAATGCATCATGGGACCTCATTTGCCAGCACCAAAATAGAAATCATGTCTGCATTAAGGGACCGTGGTGATTTACAGGCAACGTGAGTTGAGCGTGGACAATTAGACCCGTAAAAAAGATTGTTTAAAAATATTTTTTATGGTGGAATATAGTCTTTCCATCAGTATGACATAAGTATACCAAGTTTGCAGTCGATAGCACATTGGGAAGTGGGTAAAAATTGAGTTACAAGATATTTTAAGGATACGACAACAGACGGAGTGACTTAAATAAAAGCGTGTAATAAAAAGGGGAAACCCTATTCTCATGTTTTGGTACTGACAAAGGAGGTCCCATGATGTAGCTGCTCACCCCAAGCTCTCATTACTCTGATGGTGCGTTGTCTTTGTGCTGTACGCCTTTTGGCGTCCTCTGGTCTAACGCCATTTTGAGACTAGGCTCAACGAAAGCTATCTCTGGTGGACCAATCAGTTTCAAAGACAATGCATATATTATCAGAGTATGTTTTTTGTTTGAATTCAGACCACAAGTATTGTGGTTACTGCAGACATGATTCCTTGTAAATGGTTTCAGTTTGGTGTTTTAACATCTCAACACCTGTTTTGTTGCCAGAAAAAATGGGAAAACCAATTCTCATACTTTGAGCCAATTAAAGTAAATGCCATGCAAAATGAAATTGATGAATCCAATGTTTCCGAGCGCACATTTTATGATGGTGCTGCCACTGTGAGTCCATGGTCGTCTCGTCTGATCCGCTGAGGTCTGCGTTACATGAGATCGAGTGCCCTGGTCGCCAGAAGGTCAGCTTGAAGTCGTAGCGGAACAAGTGGTGGAATCAGGCATAGAGCAGGGGGTTGATGGTAGAGTTCGTGTAACTCGGCCACACAACCAGCTCCCACGTGTTGGCGTTCATCGTGAAGTCCTTGAACGGTTCCACCGTGCCGACCGAGAAGTAGGGCAGCCAGAAGATATAGATGGCCAACGTCTTGGTTGCGTTGTGCTCGCGTTTTAACGACGCCCACTGTACCGTGATTGTCCCACCGGACGCCTTGGGTCCGCACGACTTGGAAGTGGCGGCACCGTGGACGGACCTGGCCCGTCGATGGGCAACCCCCATGACGGACATCGTCGCGACAAAGCAGTAGAGGGCATCGCTGACCCCGAAGTTCGCGTTCATGTGGACGACGCACTTGTCCGGGCAGGAGGCGCTGGCGACGGCATCCTCGATGTCGGGCGGCATGAGGCCCATCACGATGGGGGCGTTGTGGTGCATCACGACGAACCAGCGGCCCAGCGGCATGACGGCGGTGCGGCCGCGGCTCGCACGCCCTGCGTGGCGCAGAGGCTGGCAGATCGCCACGTAGCGGTCGTACGCAATGCTGCTCAGGTGCAGAACGGAGCTGGTGGCGAGCCATACAGCCATTCATCTCGGGACAATAATTACAATATTACATTTATATAATTTTGTCAGGCTCAAGACCAAACAAAGGGATGAATTTATCTCTTCATCTATTACCCTATAACCTCTCTATAACTGGGTTACATTGCCATTGGGGCAATCGTCAGTCCATTGATCTTATGGCGTGTCTACCGATCCATGAATATATAACATGATGATTTGAAATCATATATTAATTAACAATGCATCCAATAATGTATAATTCATTAACCAATCCATGTTAGATCGGAGGGCGACCTCCACGACGAGCGCACAGAGGTGGCTCTGTTAATGAGAGAAATTAGCATGTAATGTCGGCGCACGAGGTGGGTGAGAAATGTAACCTGTTAATGTAAAATCAGAGAGCCGCAAATAACAACTATCATTGGAAGGTAGGATGGAAACATCACAGCCAGTTATGACTTCAACTGGTTAATAACGTCCTTCCACTGATTGCTCAGTTTCTACCAATCTTCTCGGTTGAAATTGTGTCTGTGTCTATAAATATAGATGGCTTCATGAACTTATCTTTGTTGATAGCCAGTGGGTTTGCAAAGTACCTTCGTCTTGGATAAATCTATTTCGTGTGAGCCCACCGCATTAACACAATGACCAGCCACGGCCGAGGTGTTGGTCCTACCGTATTTCAGATCTGCCTAATGTTCACAAACACGGTCCGAGACATGTCGCTTAGTTTCCCCAATGTAACTACTGCCACAGACACAGCTTAGTTTGTAGACGCTGGGGTATTGCATGTCAGGGGATCACATCCTTCACAGATAGGATCAGATCACGAATTTTATGTACTGTGTTAAATCGAACCTGGATCTTGAGTTGTTCATGATTTTGTAAATATTTTGGTGACCCCTGCTCAGTGGCGGCTGGTGATATTTATTTTTGGGGGGGCACATTTTTTTTATTTTATTGAGGGGGGCAAATAAATATAAAGCAGTACCAAAAACCATTTTGACTACTTGAATATAAATTTTGATGATCTTTATTTACATTTCAGACCAAAAGAAGTACCAAAAAGCATGTTTCCTACTTGAACATAAATGTTTCTCTTTTATATACATTTCAGACCAAAGTACCAAAAAGCATGTTTCCTACTTGAACATAAATTTTGCTCTTCTTTCTTTCTGGCCAGCAAATTTCTCAACTACTCTCTGATTAAAGTCAGTCATCTCCGTAACAAGTCTCTTTTCCATGGACAGCAATGCCAGTGCATTCAGCCTCTCCTGGGTCATGGTGTTTCTGAGAAAAGTTTTTATTCGTTTCAAGGTTGAGAAGCACCTCTCAGCTTCAGCCGTGGTCATGGGTGTGGTAATGATAACTTTTAGGAGAGTCACAGTTTCGGAAAAGACTTCTTAGAAATTATCTATATATATAAAATCGCGAATCTGTCTGTCTATCTGTCTGTCTGTGTGTCTCCGGACCATACGCACTTTCATTGGACGCCGGTTGCCCCTGCCAACGGCTAGCGACGCCTTCGCCGCTTTCATTGGACCTGGCAACGGCTAGCGACGCCTTCGCTAAGGGCTGCACTTTCATTGGACGGCGGTTGCCCCTGCCAACGGCTAGCCACGCCTTCGCCACTTTCATAGGCTCCGTAATTAATTAAATAATAGTCATTACACAGTATTGTTGGAGCGCTGAGGGGGGGGGGGGGGGAAGGAACGCCACCCGTACCCTGCCTCTGCCAGGTGCCCAATTTTGGCGAGGCCGCAGGCTCTGCACGCTACTAGGCCTCAACACCCACCACGCCACTCTGAGGTAAATTCATCAAAGTTTTTCGTACTCTTCACTCCACCCCCACCACAATGTGTGCAATTAATATTACTTTTAAACCCAACGCGCCAACAATCGATTACTTAAATGTTCACTGTACAAATAGTCATTAAGCTGGGTCAGCGTACTGCCAGTCTATCATGTAGACTGTAGCCTGCTTATTAAGCTCGGCGAGAGTACTGCCACTCTATCATGTACACTCTAGCCTGCTTATGAAGCTGAGTGCGTGTACTGGCAGTCTATAATGTGGACTGTTGCCTGCTTATTATAATCGATTCTTTATATGTTCTTTGTACAAATAGTCATTAAGCTGGTTGAGCGCCCCCAGTTCGATTCCAACTCACGCCCACCACCACTGACGATTATTTGAAACGGACCTGGGCCTCCCCTAGGTCGACTCAGCCTCAAACGCGTAACTGCTGTCGTGTGTGAACATCGTCACTGGGGAGACAAAGGCGGCCGGGCATCGTGGATCCAAGTCCCGGGCGAAGCCGGGTCATGTCTATTTGTGTATGTGTTTATGTGTATGTCTGTGTGTCTGTATGTATGTGTGTATGTATGTGTGTGTATGTGTTTGTGTGTATGTGTGTGTGTATGTATGTGCGTTTTTTTGTATGTCTTTATGTGTATGTCTGCGTGTCTGTATGTATGTGTGTATGACGCGTGTGCATGTGTTTGTGTGTATGTATGTGTGTGTCTATGTATGTGTGTATGTGTTTCTGTGTATGTGTGTGTATGTATGTGTGTTGTGTGTGTGTCTGTGTGTCTGCATGTATGTGTGTGTGTATTGTGTATGTGTTTGTATGTGTTTGTGTGTTTACGCTCGCATTACACAAATGTGTTGCAG